ATGTTGGGCATTTTTAGAGAGTTGGCATTTTTTAATATGATGTTTTTAAGTTTGTCATTTTTTTTTAATTTCCCAAAACTATGTTTAGGCAAAACTAATGGTTCTGTTAATGATTGTACCCTTAGAAATGGCCAAAAAGTCCAAAAAGCACTTCGAAAAGAAATTAGAATGTTAACGGATGAAGAAAGAAATGCTTTTGTAAATTTTATCATTAAAATTAATTGCATTAAAAAATTATTCTTAAAGTTTAATGCAATTAGAGATATGAAAAGGAGAGGAGATTATGATTATATAGCTTTAATACATAGATTAGCCTTTGTAAACGGAGGAGCTCACAATGGACCTGCTTTTTTCCTTTGGCATAGGGAATATCTTAAAAGGTGATAAATAATATTTAAATAGATTATCTAAAGCCCTGGGGAACCCAAAACGGTGAGAATAGTTACTTGTAATAATGCATTCCAATTAGGGTAGGTATTCTGGATGGAAAATGGGAAGCAGTCCGAAAAGAACACTGAGATAGTCTGTAAGGAATATAGGGGGGAGTCTGTAGATGATCTCAGAAATAATCTTAGGTAACATGGGAGGTAGCCTGAAAAGTTAATAAAGTTAAGATATTTACTTCAAAAATTTATAAAGGTTTGAGATTTTGCTTCGAAAGTATAACCCAACACTTGGCTTGCCCTATTGGGACTCTACTTTGGATGGCCGTTTGCCAAACCCTGCAGATTCCATTCTTTTTACTAAAGAGTTTATTGGAACAACAGATAACAGAGGCTATGTTGTCACTGGACCATTTACTCCTTGGAGGACTATTGAGGTGATTTTGATTTTTTAAAAATTTAAAAATGAATTTTAGGGAGATCCTTATATTACACGTAATGTTGGTAAAATTGGCAGGCCCTTTACGGAATATGAGTGAGTTTATTCTTCGGAACTAAGAAGCACAAGCTGTTATAATTTGCCTGAGATTGGGCATTTAGGTATTTGGAGATAGTTAACCTAAATTTTCAAAATAGTCTGAAGGAATAAAAAGAAATATGAAGTCTGTCGTGACTAGCTTAAATATCTAAATTTGAAAATTTTTTCTGAAACCTGAATGACGACGAAACACTTCTGGTCTGAATAGAATATAAGAGATAGTCCGAAAGGAACATGAAGTAAAAAGCGGGAATTGTTTTGCCGGGAATATTTTGAAGAGATTATAGTCGGTAGTTTGAAATGAATACGAACTAGTCTGGGGAGGGCATATATGTAAGGTTGTCTGTAGGGAACAGTAACTAATCAGTATAGAGTATGAAGGAAGTAACACTTAAATAGGCTGAAATAGACTAGTGTTCGGCGCTACAACGATACGGTATTTTTGAAATTTTCGGCACTCTTCTTATGCCGGTACCGGTAAAGTATTTTGTCTAACACAGGTCGGTAATATTGAACGTGACAGACCCCCTTTTTTCCTCCCCAAGTTTTTCCCCTATATTTTTACAGAATGGTCAGACTTTTTCCTTTCTCCCATCCCAATTGCCTTTCTATATTTGCCAGAAATCAAACAAAAAGGATTATTTAATTTTATACAAGTGAAAGTATATGCAAAAAAAGTAAGAGGAGTATTAATTTTGTTCTCAATTTATAAAAAAAAATGGAACAACTTTTAGCAATTGAGAAGGAATCAAGGAAAAACTGGTTTATGATTGATTGTAGGATTTGTAGAAAGGCAATTGGGAAGGGAGAAAGGAAAAAGTCTGACCATTCTGTAAAAATACAGGGTAAAACTTGGGGAGGAAAAAAGGGGGTCTGTCACGTTCAATATTACCCACAGGTCTGAAAAATACTTTATGACTAAAATTTAAAGTAAAAATACTTTTCAAGTGTTTACTGGACCCTTTCACAAACAAAATTGGAAAATGTACTTGCTTATACATCGGCAAGGCGGGCATGCCCTGTAAAAATTGAATGGGATGCTTTTGAAGTGATTCTACTTTTAATTTTTTAAATTTATTTTAATTTTCTAAAAGTACCCTCATGGATTCCCTCACTTATTTATTGGCGGGGACATGGCTACATTTATCCCAAACAAACCTGCAAATGATCCTATATTTTTTATGCATCATTGTTTTGTTGATTTGGTTAATTTTTTAATTTAATTTAACAGCTACTCCACTTCGATATACCTGCACCTTGTAAACATACCCGATTTTGTTTTGTTCCAAAAAATAGCAGAATGACTACCCCCTCCCGATTACCGTATTTGCTCTAGTAATCCCCCAGGGGGATTATTGTTTCAACCCATCTCTAGGGTGGGGGATTAATAGAGCCTGGGGGATTATTAGAGTGGGGTAGAAAGAGGGGGATTATTGTTTCAACCCATCTCCAGGGTGGGGGATTAATAGAGCCTGGGGGATTAATAAAGGACTGGGGGATTAATAGAGCAAATACGGTAATTACACTCCCTAGTTTAAGCATTAATTACCCAGTTCCCCTCTAGTGGTTAGAAGCTTTCAATAATTTCTCCCAGAATAAACAAAAAACAACGGTTTATAACACCACCAAACGCATAGAAGGTTCTTAGGGATTCTTAGTGTTTCAGCCCTATAACTTGGCCATATTTCAAATAAAAACAAACTTTTTTTAGGTTTTTGAATATTGGAGAGAAATAGCCCAAAACAGGAGACAACGAGCTAATGACTATCCAGCTGATATTCCTGTAAAATTTAAATTTAATAAATAAATTAATTTTAATTATTTGAGGCTTGCGAGTTGAAGAAACATTTTAAATTTGCAAATATGACACAATTTGCTGTAAAATAAATTTTTAAAATTTTCAATTAATTTTTGAAAATTTAAAAATATTTAAGCCCCTACAAAATTGGGATGGACTTAGGAACGAATATACCGACAATATGTTTAAATTTCATCATAGACCTACTTGTAGTTTCAAGACAGAATGTGGATCAAAGTAGGGGATTTATCAAATTTTATTAATCAAATTTAAATGGTTGAAAGGATTGCTCCATTTAATTTTTTGGGGAAAGTTTGGGGGTCTTTGTTTTATCTTGTGAAGGTTACTCCCCCCCCTCACCCCCTCTTCCTCCCGTTAATCTCCACGTCCTTGTTAATCTCCACGTTGTCTCCTCCCACTCCACTCCCCCTTGAGCGCAGCCTCCTAAACAAAAAATTTTCCTCAGGGTCACACTTCTTAAGGCCTCCTCTATCCCTTCTAATTCCCCGTCTTCCCGTTCCCCAACCCTTCTCCTCCCTAATATCTATTATTTTAATTAAAAACAAAAATAATTATTTTTTAATTCAGATATTTATTTTGCGACCGTTCCCACACCTATCCATTGTGTGCATCTAAAGTCCGTCAAGGCGGAAACTGTACAGGCTTTACGAATGGTTAGTGCTTTCTCGGAAAATTTTTAATTTTTATTTATAGGGGAAGATCCTTGTCTGAACAGTAATTGTGTAAATGGTACTTGTATTCTACAATAAACTAGAAGGAATTTTGATATCTTTCGGTACTTTATGGATATTCCGCCCCCTCCCCTATTTTGAGTCTCAGATTTCCCTTATGATGCGCAGAATGGTCAGACGACTTAATTACTTCCTCAATTTTCCTGTGGCATATTCAAATGTTAGACATTGAAAAAACAAATATTATTTTTTGCAACCATTTATTCATTGACCTGTTCAAAATAGGGAGCGGCATATCCATAAAATACCTATCTTTCTAACCTCATTTAAAAAAATTTTTTTTCATATTATTAAATTGGAAGAAAAGAATTGGTCCAGAAACATCGTATCTTATGTATAATGGGAGTATCTTAAATAGAGGTCATAGCCTTCTATTTATGATACGCCTCATTATAAGTTACAATTTTCGTCCTCAGGGCGTATTTTATGAGTCATGTTTATTAATAAAGTGCAATTATTTTAGATAAAATCAATTTTACATGTATTTTTTAAAAATGTCGGTGTCTTTGTAAATTATGAAATTTAAATAAAAAAGGGTAGGGAAAGAGGCTAGACATTAGACTTTATTTTTAGCGTTAATCAAAAATTTTTTTTTTCAACTAAAAAAGTGCATTCTAAAAAAGTCGCTTAAAATTGTTATAATTTTATGTTTACACTCCTCCCCCCCCCCCTCCTCCAAACCCTTCTAAAAATCCCGAAAATTTTAATTAAAATCTTGGGACTAACAATAAGTTTTGTTATCACGAAATGTTTTGTATTGGACAGCTCTTCGGGAAGAGGGGGGGGATATTCTTTATTTCAAAATTTTAGATCTATGTGGCATTGATTGATTAACTCTACCTCTTATCCTTCTCTCAATTCCCTTTTCTCTTAATCTTTCCCTCATTCCCTTTCTTGACTAAATTTATTTTAATTTGCCTTTTCTTATCCCTCCCTCCCTTCTCCTCCTCCTCTCCTTTTCACCCCCCCCCCACTAAATTTGTTTTTTCTTAATTTAAGTTTTATTTTTTTAATTTTATTTTAAATATTTTTGAGCGTTTGAATTAAATAATAAAAAATATTTCTGTTTAAAAAGAGCATTTATCAATTTCAGTACCTCTTTTTGTGTAAAATACAATCTACCCAACTGTTTTAAACTTCTAGGAAAGGGAGTTAATCTAGAAGCATTTTGACACTTATTTGTTAACGGGAATTTAAACTTTGAAAATGAAAAGCTTCCGGCTCGTAACTTGTCCTCTTAATGAATTTCACTTGTTACGATGTAGGAAAGTACAAAGTAAGAGTACGAGAAAATCTTAAATTTTAAGCCACAGGTTTCCCAAGCGTGCTGAAGCTTGTCAATTGGCATGGGTTGGTGAACATTCTTTTAGTAGAGAATTAGCAAGGTTGTAAGCAAGTATACTCCCCTTAGCGCGAGCCCAACGTACTGCCGGACTACATATAACTTTGCGCCCTGGTATGGTTCTATTGTCTATTCCTCTTTACATATATTCTTTCAATCTTTAATTTTAAATTAAATTTTAGAAGGAATGTTTCAATCATTTCTTCACAAAAATTTTCTTCTTTCCTTCATAATTTTATCATTTTTGATAATTTATGTGAATGGAGGAAATGGAGATGGATCTTCTAAACAACATGAAACAAGTCCTAAACATGAAACAAGTCCTAAAGAAGAGGAAAAAGCTGAAAAGGAAAAAAGTTTAAGTCCCCCAAAATCTGGAACAAAAAGAAAAATTGGTTGGGATAGCATGTTTAAAGGTTTGGGCAAAAATAAAGGTGCGAGTTCAGTATTCGGTGAAATTACAAATGTGCAACTAAAAAATGTATGGAGGGATGCTGCGAAACGATCACTTGTACAGGTATTAAAAAATTTTTATTGTAATGGTTAGATGGGGCTGATTGATAGAAGTTAGATAGGCTGAAGGGTACATTAAAAAGTAGGCTGAAAGGAACATTAAAAAGTAGACTGAAGGTCTACTTGAAGGAACAGACTGAAGGAACATTTAGACTGAATGGAACAGGAGAGTAAGCTGAAGAGAACACGAGATTTACTTTACAGAACAATCAACTAATTTTAAAAATTTAACATTGAATTTTCAGGAAGAAGTAAATTTGAAAAGTACAGTAAATGAAGCTTTCGAACTTTTTAATCAACATGATTGTTTGAAATTGGTTGACGAAATGTCAAAATCTCAAAAGGAGCGAGTTAAGGATTCTTTTATTGAAAATAGGCCTGTTGATCTTGCTTCTCCAGCTTCCTCTTCTCCTCATTCGATTCCTTCTACTCATCCTCAAAGTTCTTCCTCCCACTCTTCTCATCCTCCAACTTCTCCTAAACCTCTTCCAAGTCCTCCTCACTCTTCTCATTCTTCAACTTCTCCTAAACCTCTTCCAAGTCCTCCTCACTCTCCTCATCCTCCAACTTCTCTTAAACCTCTTCCAAGTCCTCCTCACTCTTCTGATCACAAAACATCGCCTCATAATGTTGCTTCTCCTCTTGCTTTACCAGAAGCTGATGTAGAACAAGAAAAGGGATTAGACATGCCTGAAGAGATACGTGCCGTTGTTAATGAGATAACATGGAAAAATCATGTAAGTGAAGATTCTTTTTTTAAATAATCAAACCAACAGCTCGCAAAGTTGATAAGGAAAGCCCCGGATATCCGACTGATGTTTGAATAGAAAAGTTCCGGATATTTTGACTTATAGGAACCATATCCGAACTCTGCCCCATTTGTAATTCCTAAGGTAGGTAGTGGTAGGCACTTAAGACTTACATACTTTAACTGGAGTAAATATGCATGGCTGTCCTCAATTAATTTCTCAAGTGTACAAACAATTTACACAACCCCTGAAAATTGCAGACAGCACTGCTTATGAAAATGTTTAAAATATTAAAACTAGAGATCAACTGAGACGAGATCTCGGACAAATATCTCGATATTTTTTAAGATATCGCTCCCAATCCGCTCTCTACCTATGACCTTTAAGCTTGCCTAGTATATAGAGGAATATTTCTTTTAGCCTTACCTTTTAAGTTTACTCAATTTTAACAATTAAAGTATTTATCACCCGATTCTCCATTTAATCAATTTATCACCAAAACCCGTGAAAATGTTCAAGACTTTCATTGCACAATATGTAAGCAAGACTCTAATGAGGAATTATCACAAGCTGACGATCAGTCAAAACAAATTGTTCAGTTAAAGACTTGTGAAGACAAATTTCATTTAGAATGCATTGCTCAGCATTGGGGAAAAGGTAAAAAAGATTGCCCAAATTGTCGCCGTAAATTTGAAGTTAAACATGTTGAAGTTAAGGAGGAAGGTGTTAATGTTGAGTAAAGTTAAAGAACTGAGGCTAGTTATAATTTTTATTTTAATTGGATTAAAATGCTGGGGATGTGGCTTCGGTGGCTAGCTTCGAAGCCGTCTTTGGCGGAGTGCCTGTGCCGGGCCACAGAATAAAACATACCAAGCACTTCAGGGCGCTTTTGGTGTACTAGAGAGAAAAATTTACTCTATTATTTGTTACCCATCCCTCTTTACCCGAGGCAAACGGGAACGTCGGCCATATTTCATCACTCTCACCGGAATTGCCCTTTTCCTCTTTCCCTTTATTTTTCGGTTTACCGATTACCGTATATACTCAAATAATTACCCCAGGTAATTATTATTTTAACTTTTTGCTATACGAAGTAATTAATTGAGTGAGGGGGTAATTATTAGTGAAAGGGTAATTGTAGGAGAATACACGGTACTCGTTTTTGCTTTTCAATCCCCGCAGATAACACCCCAAATATAAACTAAAGGGATTTTCAGATTTTTTTTAAATTTTTAATAAAAATCTTCGTTTTATAGAAATGATACGTTGTAGATTTAAAGAAAAAAAGCATTTTAATGGATTATAAAAATATTTTAAATGGATTATTTAATTTTAACACTTTTAATTTTTTTCGAAAATATGTAGTTTTTTAGTCCCCATTCTAAGAATGTTTTCACTTGAATATTTAAAAAGACTAAAGGAAAATTGTACAGGCGCTAAGGCAAAAGCTTTAAGTAAGTACCCCTCATTTTAATTTTTACAAAAGATCCATTTCCGTCCCTGAATTTTAGGGATCTTGAGACTTTCGAAAATCCTTATATATGTATGTGTTTATCCTAAGTTAAACTTAATACTCCTCTCTCTCTATAACGAGCATGGGGGTTTCCGAAACCCTGTCCGAAGAAAAGTTGTGAAACCAGACTTAACAAACACGTCTATGAAAGCGAGGTTTAGCTGTCTTTAAGTCCTTGTTGAAATACCTTATATTTTCTAGTCGCTGTACAAGTTTTCGAGTTATCTAAAAATCCCCTTCATAAAATTATTTTTATTTATTAAATTTAGAATAAAAATATGTAGCCGTCTGTTTTCGTAATTTAATTTTTTTTTAAATTAATTGCACTTTTGTTTAAAAAATTATTTTGTAATTAAAAAGCACTTTAATTCCCACACTTATTTTAAAATATTTTAAAGTGCAAATTTAACGGAAATAATGAGAAAAATATTTAAAATTAAAATAATATAAGTAATTTTCTCAGTCAAATACTTCCTTCTTTTTTTATTTTTAAATAATAAACTTTTATTCCTTTTATTCATTAATTTATTTTAAAAATATTTTTTAAAAATTTGGGATTAAATGTCCACAAAAGTTTTCGGATTTTAAATTACCTATATTCGAGAATTCACGATTAATTAATCCAAACCAGACACCGAATGTGAACTACTTTAGTTAATAAATCAGAGTCGAAACAAGGGGGTCTGAGAGGGTATTATCAGTTAATAACTGGTAGTAAACAACAAGACTAGGTAATTTCTTTTGTCTTAACCACTATTTTGTTTTTTATCTGAAAGTTGCTTAAAAATTAATTTTTAAGTCCCAATTTGTTTTTTTTAACTTTTAAGAAAATTAAATTTTTAAAATGTTTATTTTATTAATTTTAATTATTCAAATTAATTTTATTTTTTGTCAAGACAACGAAGAAATACGTAATTGTATGTAATATTTTTTTAATTTTTTAATAACGGCAATTAAGTCGTTTTGTTTTTGATAAAAATCGGCATTGTTTCGAAGTTTTAAAAGCTAGACATTTATTGTGTGTTAACTAATGGCTATAGCTTTTTTCAGATTAATACAGAAAAATTTTTGGTAGTCAATTTCGGCATACCCTTTATGTTTATGTCTACTCAGAGATTTTGAAGGATATTAGGGGGATTTGGAGCAGATGGGCGAAGTTTTTCTATTTACCTTGAAGGGCAACAACGAAACGAGAAAAATAATTTAAGGGAAATAATTTTAATTATCACTTAAAACATTAGAAATCTTTCTCTATCCCCCTCTCCCTTCCCTCTAAAATCCCTATATATTCCCTAATATAACTCATGCCCCCTTAAATTTGCAGCACTTTTAACCAAAATAAACACACAAATAGAAATTCAAACCCAATTTATTTCAAATATCCAAACATTGGAAGACTTTCTTAGTGGAAATAAATTGGAAATAATTGAAGATAATCATCTCTTTCCTTTTTTTGTATTTTTAAAATTATCTAATCAAAATGAAAAATTGGCTGGGGAAAAACAAAAAATAATTATTGGATGTTGGGAGGTTTTAATGAAACAATCTAAACAATTTATTAATTTGTTAAAATGGGGAATTGTTGAGGAATTGGAAAATATTGCTGGAAGTAGTGATAACAAGCATCCTGAACCTCCTTATAATTTTTCTGAAGTTTTTGGTAATATTTTGATAATTTGAACCTAAGGGGTATACAAATTAGAAGTTTGTTGGTATTGAAGAGTAAAGTTGATTTTTATAATATTCCGCCTGTTTTTATTTTGCTAAACAGCAGAAATAATTATAATTATTTCATCATATGTAGTTATTCTATTAATTCCGCCTGTTTTTAATAAATAATAGCCATAAAAAAGGCGACATTATTAAATAAGAATTAATATTCCGCCTGTTTAAAAACAGAAAATTTAAATAAAACATTCCAAAAACATGCGGAATTAAATTATATATTATTTAAATTAAGATATCGACCAATTTGAAACTTGGTATTCAACAACAATAAAATGGGCAACTGAGGGAACAGAAAATTTTTCTGATGCTAATATTTTGGATTTTAATACAACAATTAAATTTGGAAATTATTTTAGAAAATTTTCGAAAGAAAGAAATGAACATTTGCAAAAATTGGTTGAAGAGGAGGATAAATGTATAAATTATTATAGACATTTAAAAATTAAATGTACAGAGAAGGAATTGGAAAAATTTGAAAATACTCGAATTTATTTATACAAAATATATATTAAAGCTTATAATTTAATGAAAATGTTTGATTTTATTTGGAGTATTTTGTATGCTTTGAATCCCTATGGAATGAAATATTTATTGAAGGTAGTTGTTAATGACTTACAAAATAATTTTTCCGGGTCCAGAGACCAGATTTTTGATTTCACATTCATGCCAGAACGAATCCTGCCTGATTTTTCCGAAATAATCCTAAAAAATAATTTCAGAAGTCCGGCAGAAATTACCTAATTCTGAACAGGATCCGGGGTTTTCCCGGATTTTTCAATAGTATTTTTTATTAATTTTTATGTTGATTAATAAATCCAGTTCCCAAATCCGGTACAAAAATTTAGCCGGACCGGATCCGGAGGATTCTGGAAAACCTCGGATTTGGAATCCGGAATCAGGCGGATCCGCTCCGGCGCCGATCACTAATAGTCGTTTAAATATAAATAAATTAACAAATATAAAAACAGGCGGAATTTTAATTTTTAATTCTTCTGTTTTTACTTAATTAATTCAGCCTGTTTTTATGATTGTTAATTTATTCCAAACAGGCGGAATTTAAAACATTTAAAAACATTTCAGCAAAGAAAAGAAGCGTCCAAAACATTAGTTCTTTTGTTTTCCCTCCAACATGTTGCAAATCAAGCAAAACAAGCTTTAAACAAACCAAACAAACGTCAGAAAACAAAAACAAGTTTTGAAGCAAATTTAAATGTTCAAATAAATAATCCTTCCCATTTAATTATTTCTGAATTAAAAAACTTTTATATAAATTTATGTTCACAATGGCTTTATGGGAAACAAAAACGTCCTCATCTCCGCAAAACAAATGTAAAAATGGAGGATTGCAAGCTTGAGAATGTTAAGAAGAGAACAAATCGGAAAATGAGTGTTTATAATTTGGAAGTTACTGTAGAAAGGAATTTGTTGCTGATTGTTGGGGAATTGCTTGAATTGGAAATTTAATTATTAAAATTATTTTTTTTATTTTTTCTGATTAATTTAATTTTTACAAATTAATTTTTAAAAATTTCAAGCACTGGAAAACAAACCACGAGAAGGCGGAATTAATATAAAAATAAATTTATAAACAGGCGGAATTAAAATTAGTTGTACATATTTTAAAAATTCCGTGTGTTTTTAATTTATTTTTGAATAAAACATTGCACAACTTGTTTTAATTCCGCCTGTTTTCAGGTTATTTTTAATTTGTTTTTAAAATTAATTTAAACAACGCCAGCCATCCTTAACATTTTTCCTATATGAACACTTTGTTTTAGCCTCCACCTTTTTTAAGACTTGTTTTTGGTGGTGGGGTGCATATTAGGAAAAAGTCAAGAACTGACAGCGAAGTAAATTTTTAAACAAATTTTTCTATTATCTAAAGAAATATTTAAATAATTTTTTGAATATTTATTGAAGAAAGGAAAGCATTAAAATAAGAGAAAATATTTTATTTATTTATGTTAGCGAAAATCAAACAAATAAATTTCATTCATATTTATTCCCCCAAATTTTTTTCTTTTGTTAAAAGCAGCTTTTTTTCTTCCATTTTTAAGAAAAAAAATATTTGAGATGATTCACTTTAAAGTTTTGGACAGTTTTTAAGCTGGGTATTCCGGGTAACTTAGAGTATGTATTAGTGGTGGGGGAGCGCGCCTACTCCTATAACTTTTAATATCAGAAACTGTTAAAAATAATTTTTATATCTTTCGATAGAGAATTAAAAATACAATAAACGACAGTATATCTTAAAATTTAAATCAAAAGAGATAAAAGAGTTATAAGAGAAAAACTTGTTTTATAGGCATTTTTGCCGCCTTTCGATCTAAAAATTTTTCCTCGAAATAAATTTTTTTGTTTTTGATTTAGTCTTATAGAGAATTCAATTCTCTATCAGACAAAGTTTATTTTGTTTCAAAATCTTTTTCTGTTCAAAAGTTATGAGTGTTGCCGCACCCCAATACTCAACACTTCACTACTATATACTGTTTACAGTTAAAATATTTTTGTTCAAATATTTGTTTAAAACAATTTTCTACAGAAAAGTTTTTATATATTGCCAAATGTACGTCTTTTTAGAATAGAGAGAAAAAATAAAACTGAAAAAGAAAAAATAATAATCATAAAAATGATCATTATTTTTGATGACTGGTTCGTGGTTGTATTTACTTATCTTTAATAGTAAATACAAAATATTTAAAGAAAAAAATTTTTTTTAATAAATTTTGAAATAAAATATGGAAAATTTAAATATATTTAAAATAAAATTAAAATTGAGTTGAGAATTTTAAAAATTAAAAAAAATTTTCAATAAATATTTTTATTCAAAATTAATATTTGTATTAAATATGTGGAACGACTACGACACTTTAAATTAAAATAAGAAAAATATAAACAATTTCAGAATTAAAAAAATATTTTTTAAATATGTGGAAAGGATGTATAAATAATAATTATTTTAAAAATTATTTCTACTCTCTTTTTATTAAAATTTATTTTGTATTTTGTCTTGTGTGTTTTGACCCGGACACGCATTGTTGCCAACGCTTCAACTTTTCATTGAATTTATTTTTTGATAGGAAATTGATATCATTCGATAGATTAAAATTGAGTTAAGAATTGAGTTTGAGTTTGTTACAAAAATAGAGAGGAAACTAAATTTTATGAAACTAATAAAAAAAGTTATGATTGGAAAACGGATGTTTCATTCAGAAAAAGGAGCTTTTTTGGTTGTTTTTTGATCGTAACTTTTTTGATAAAAAATATAAGCAAAATAATTTAATAGTAAATTTAATTCTCCATCGAAAGATTTAAAACAAATTTTAAAAATTCATAAGGTCTAATTAAAATTTTGTAGGGCATCAAATCTCCAAGGCTCGCTCTTATAAACATTCTTTTAACAGATATGTATTTTTAAATAAAAATTTTTCTTTTAAAAAATAATTAAAATATTAATTAAATTAATTAATTAAAGAAAATAAAAGTAAAATAAATTTACAAAAATTATCATCTTAAAAAAAGAAAGTAAAAATTGCTGATAATTTTTACAAAATATATTTTCTCGATCCTTCCTCACCCTTATAATAATTATTTTACAACATACAATTAAAAGTCATATATTAATAAAAATGTTAATAATTTTATTTATTTTAACCGCACCATTTTTTATTTTTTGTTACTTCACGTGTCATTTTTCTAAATTTTCTGGCCGTTTTTTAATTGCAAATATACAATTCTCGTGATTTTCTTTAAATAGGGTCAGCGGTGATAAATTAGTAGTTATATTTAAATATTTGGTTAATTTGGAAGGGGAAATGTTGCGGAAATGGGTGGGGATTTAATTGGGAAGAGATTAATTTTTAAAAATAAATTTAGTTAAAGAAAGCGTTGGGAACATAGATTCTTGATGGTTGGAAAGCCAATTTAAGTTTATGACTCGAAGTTTTTATTTTTGTGTTGATGGTACTAAAATTGTCTTTTCAAATTTATTTTATTTTTTAAAAATATTGAGAATAATTCTAAAAATTGAGAAGAAAATGGAAGAATGTGAATGAGAGGAACAACCAAAACATGTTCTGAGAAAGTATATTTTAGCTTTACAATATCCATATCAGCTCGTTAGAGCCTCTAACAATAAGAGCTGTTCATATCCGAATTACAAAATAAAATCTCGATTTTGTATAAACCCTCGAAGTGAATAAGGATCGGGGGTATTACAAAGGTACTCCTCCGCCCCCCCCCCCTCCTGCAAACTAGTAGCTAACTTCACCAAGAAAATGTGTGTGAATAATTAGAAACAAAAAAGATAAATATTACTTAAATATAAAGATATACATGTACATTTTTATATATGTATACTATAATATTAAAAATGATTTTTTCATTTGTTTGTTTTGTGTTTGTGCTTATTTTATTCTTTTTTTTTGTTTGTTCTTCCTATAAGCTTTAAAAACATTTATTTTTACGTTCCAACAAAAATAACTGAAAATAAAGAGAAAAATAAATAAATATGTCTTTATTTTACGTTTTTGAGAAATAATAAAAAAATAAAATTTTTAAATTAATTTTCACCTTCATTCCAATATTTTATCCAATTGAAGCGCTTCCCCAACAATAATTAACAAACTTCTTTCAACTGATACTTCCAACAATTTTACATATGTTTTTAAAAATGTTTTTTTCTTAACTTTTTCAAACAAACAATCTTCCCTTTTAACATTTGTTTTTCTCTTGTTTTTAGCAACTTCTTTGTATATCCAAGTTTCACACAAGTTCATATAAAAGGCTAAAAGTTCAGAAAATAAAACTTGTTTTGGAATAATGTTTGAATGAAAATGTTTTTCTAAAATGTTTTTGTTGTCTCTTTTTCTTTTCAAACTTGTTTTTGGATAGTTTAAAAGTTGTTTTGTTTTGTATGCTATATGTTGTAAGGAAAACATTGTTTGAAGAATATTTGCTTTTTGTTCTTGTAACTTAAACAAAACATTTTATAGTATTAGGATGTTAGAAATAATTCCGCTTGTTTTGATGTTTTTAAAAATCCGCCTGTTTTCCGGTTTTTATTTGCAAGTTTAATTATTAAATAGTATTTTCTTCTCTACTATTTTCAAGTTTATTTATTATTAAAAACTTACTTTAAATAGATATTTAAAACTTTCCCCATACAAAGTTTCCGAAACATAATTAAATAGTTCTTTTAACAAATATGCCTTTATAAAAACTTTGTAAATATAAATTTTAATATTTTCAAGTTCCTTTAATTTATCAATATCAGACTCATCTTTAAGCAAAATTTTTTCTCTATCATTTATTAAATGTTTAAAAACTTCCCTTCTTCTTTCTAAAAAATTTGAAAAATAATTTCTAATAAAAAGGGGATTATTTTTATTATTTATATTAATTTGTCCTTTTTCTCCAAATATTTTAGCTTGATAAAAATTTGTTTTGTCAAATAGATAGCTGTTTACAAGTTCCCAACCAATTGCGAATGTGTACCATTCTTCAAAATGTTTTAGATCTTTTTGAAAAAAAATTAAAATTAATTCCGCCTGTTTATTTCGCAATTTATTTACTCTTTCCCTAGTTATCTATAAACCACCCTCACTTAAATGGCCATAACTTTATCAGAAACGGTCCAAATTCATAATTTTTGGTATTTTTAGGTTCCGCTTGAATAGCCCTTTCGAATGATATATAAATTAATTTTTTCTAAATTTTTTAAACTTTTTTTCGAATTTTTCTGTGAAGCTTGTCCTCTCTTCCGTGAAATTTTAATATTAAAAAAATAATTATTAAAATTAAAATTAACTAAATAAAATATTCAAATTATATAAAGGTTTAGGATGCTTGTTATTATTACTACTTCCAGCAATATTTTCCAATTCCTCAACACTTCCCCATTTTAATAAATTAATAAATTGTTTAGATTGTTTAATTAAAACCTCCCAACATCCAATAATTATTTTTTGTCTTAAATTTTCTGGGTCTTTATTTATTTTATTTAAAATAATAAAAGCCTCTACTGGGAACAGTTGAGAATATAATTCTAATTTTTCTTGGGTAATTTTCCTTTCATCAAAAAAGTCATAAGCAAGAATTTTAAAATTTGAAATAAATTCTTCCTGTATTTCTATTTGGGTATTTAATTTGATGAGAATTTCTTTAAAGAAATATTTAAAATTAATCTTTATTTTTTTTAAATTAAAATTATACTTTCTTTAATTTCATCACAAAGGCATCCACAAACACAGAAAATAATTAATAATTTAATTAATTTTTCCAGCATTATTTAAAAATAAAATTCCGCCTGTTTAAATTTATCTAAAAATTTTATTTAAATTATTTTTAAAATTAAAATAAAATCAAAACAGGCGGAATTTAAAATGTTTTTTTGTTTGTTGCGTAAATAATTCCGCCTGTTTTAACTTTAATATATTTAAGGGCTTTATGAAAAATAATTATGAAGATTATGAAATTATAAAAAATTATGAAAAATAATTTTGAAAAATTAGAGAAGGTAAATAAAGGAAAGGGCAAAAAGGATAGACAAAATTATATTTTTTAATAGAGCAATCAATCAGTGTTTATTAAACAAAATTTAATTCACTTAAAATTGCCAAATTATTTCAAAATATTTTTATAAAGGTCGACGGATCCGGATATTACAAAACTGATAGACTCTTCCCTCGACATTTCCATACACTTTCCTTACATTCAAAAAAAGAAGGCTGTCTTTCGTAAACGGAAAATAGGCGGAATTATTTTTGAAATAAAAATATAATAAAAATAGGCGGAATTTTTTGACAAAAACACGATAAATAAACAGGCGGAAATAGTTGGTTTTAATAAAAACAGGCGGAATTATTTTTAAAATTAAAATAATTAAAACAGGCGGGATTAAAACATGCTGAATTATTCTTAAATGTTTCTTTGTTCTTCTTTTAATGTTTATCTCGCTCTATTCTTTTTCTTTATTTTCAAGTTCAACATTTACTGTTTCATTTAATATTTCTTCGTTACTCTCATGTCTTTCTACAAACATAGAGGATGTTTGTTCATTGTTGTTTTTGTTTGTTAAACATTTATTTCTCCTATGTTTTTCCAAAACATTTAATTTATTACTGTTTGTTTGAATACTATCAAAACTTCCAAAACTATTTAAAGAAACATTTTCTCCCTTATAAGACATTACTTGACGTAATTGAACGTGTTTTCTATAATTTAGCCAGAGAATGTTTAACACTTCCTGGGTGAATAGTTCCTAAATAAAATTATTTTTTTATTTACTCTATTGAGAAAAATTTCAAAAAAAACTTTCGAAAAAATTTTTTTGAATTTTTATTTATTTTTAAAGTATACCCCTCCATTTGCACTAAGCATCCGTAAAAGCATTGTTCCATCAGCTCGAATCATTTTGTTACTAAACTCGAGAAATATGTAACGTTCTTCTACGGCGACAGAAGGGATGAATCTTTGAAGAAATTCTATTTTTGGGGAAAATTTTTTGTTTTGATAGAAAATTCTATTTTATTTGATAGAATTTTTCAGACCTGCTCATGGACACGGATTTTGCTATCCGTATCCGGATATATCCGTGAGGTCAATATCCGTATCCGTTTGTATCCGTCCAACTTTTTAGGCATATCCATCCGCGGATATCCGCGGATATATCCGTTTTTTCTCAAAATGGTCAGCCTTGCTAGAATTTTCAAAATGGTCAAATTTATTTAAATTCGAGTAACGGGTAGATAACAAGGTAATAACTGGATGCAGCATAACTAACCTTGCTTACGAATATCGGAGGTCGAAAATCGTAAGGCGGAGATAGGAATTCCGACTAAACGCTGCTTATCAGGGATCATACTGACAAAAAATAGAATTTTGAAAATTTTTGAGAATTTTTGAAAAGTAAATTCCCGGTTTCGGGCCGAAATTAAAATTTCTGTTAACTGACCAGTTAATTTTAGCGCCGCAGGCGAAAATTTTGAGAATTTGGAAGACAAAGAATAAAATCTTTCATTTTCAGCGCCGCAGGCGAAAATTTTGAGAATTTTAGAAGGGCCTAGGCCAAAAAAATTCACTTTTTTGCCCAATCCCCTCACCTAATTTTTTCCTTTTTCCCAATTAGGGGGTGGGTGGGGGAATTTCCCATACCCCTCTGAAAATTTTCGTTTGCCCAGCAAAAGAGTACGAGCTAATTTTTCTCGTACTCCCCACTGAATTTGGCCTGACTTGTACTTCGTACCTTAAGTGGGTAGGCACACATAGGAGCGTCGTGGATGAAAATTTTTAAGCTGTAAGGCGAAGAAACCAGAGTTCTTCATTCTAGCGCCGCAGGAGAAAATTTGAGAACTTCAATTATTTAACAGCCAGATTTCTTCATTTTTTTTAGCGCCGCAGGCGAAAATTTTTAAAATTTCGAAAGGCCGAAAGCGAAAAAAATTCACTTTCTTTGTAACGCAGGTTAGAATTTTGAGATGGATATCCGCGGATTTGAAGCAGCATATCCGTATCCATCCGTATCCGTCCAATTTTTTTAAAAACACTATCCATATCCATCCGTATCCGCGGATATCCGCGGGTATCCGGATATTATCCGTATCCGTGAGCAGGTCTGGAATTTTTATTTTGATAGAATGGGAAAATTTTTTTATTTTTTTAGAAATTTTGGCATTTTAATTTTAATTAAAAAATAAGCTTTACTGCTACATTCGTAAAACAAATAAACAAATTAAAAAATAACTTTTCCCAAAAATATAAATATATGATAAGAATTGACCTGCCATCTCAATTAAAGAGATTCCCGACTTTCCCAATCTAATATTTATTACCGGCCAATCTTTATCTCTTATTATTCACATTTTGTATTAATATTTATTTACCCATTTCTTGACCTGTCCATCTCAATAACAATATTTGTTTGCCTAATTTTCCACTATATATATCCGCCACATTTTCACCTATTTTGTCTTATATTGAACTTTACCTTTTAACTTTTAACTCTTTAATTTATAATATTATAACACCTTGAATAAATATATTTTAAATCCAATTTGACCAAGGCTTAGAACCGAGGGTATTATAGTGAACTTACAAACAGTTCATTTACCATATTTCTGAAGCTTATTTAATTAAAATTTAAATTTTAAATTATTTTTTTCCTCACAAACTTGCGAAAATAAAAAATTCTTCGACTGGCTACACGTGTATTTAATATCCAATTTATTGTGTCTATTGTAGTTAATATTCCAACCAAAATTAACCAACAATAGAGAAATAAAAATATTTTCTCATTAAACTTTAAAATTAATTTTATTTTTTAATTTTAAATTTTATTTTTTAATTTTAACCATATTTAACATTAAAACACACTGGATAGAATAACGTTGAATATTTGAAAGTGTTCTTATCTAAAAAAATTTTTAAGAAAGGATAAAAGATTTATATATCATTTGAAAGGTCTATTTAAGTTGAATTGAAAGGTACCAAAATTTTGGAGAAAGTTATAGACATTTCTTGGGCCATATATCGTTAACCTTGAAAAAAGTAACGGTCAGTTCTGGGCTTGTATAAAATTCAATTTTAGCCCCAGAACCATAAAATTTTGCATAAAAATGATCCATAGTATCAAATAACTTTGTAAAAATTTCAGAATTTTAGGTTTAATATTTCAGAAATTCTGGTACAAAAAGCGACATGATTTTTAGTCATAATTAATTTATTGATCAACTAAGAATTCTTAGATTTATAGAATTGATAGTATCATCATTGAGTATGTCTGCACAATTTTTGATAGATATATATAGGAACAGTTTGACAGATATTATGGGTCTACGAAATTTTTTAATAATTAGCCCTCATAATCGACTATTTTTTAATTATTTTTCAATTTTACTTTAATTTAAAAATTAAATTTTTTTCACTCACAGTAAAATCGCATAAAGCAACTCTAGGGAAATTCCCACTTAATTCCCAATCTCTTCCACTAACCACATCAGATAATATGTGAGCCCCCCAAAACAGAGCTGTGGAAATATTGAATTAATTTAATTTAATCTTAAAATTAATTAACTATTTTGTCCTAGAAAATGATTCATTATTCGGATTTGCCCAATAATATTTAAAATATATAAAAATCTTGTGATAAAAAACATGCTGAAATTTAAAATAAATTAATTTTAATTTTTAAATTAGTAACAATTGTAAGGATCAAAGGTGTAATCCTTGAGAAACTATTGAAAACTATGAAAAGCTTAAAGGTGTAATTCTTGGGAAAGTGATAGAAACCCCGCCTAGAGAGAAGGTGCATTTAAGCTAAAGGGAAATAAGGAAAAGCAGCTTAGTTGACGATCATTCCAACTTAGTTCTTCATTAATCAATGGCCTAGTGTTCGGTCGGCTATAAGCCTGACCAAGTGGTTAACCAATAATCATTCACCCCGCTCGCTTGCACTACCTCTGGGTATTCTATTCTATTCTATTCTATTCTATTCTATTCTATTCTATTCTATTCTATTCTATTCTATTCTATTCTATTCAATTCTATTCTTCGCACGCATAATCAACATCTCTCTTAATTAGGGCTGGCCCCTCTAATTAATAATTTACTGGTAGCACCGGATGGTTCAGCGAAAGCTGAACGCATGACGGTCTATCTCGCGTGCTTCCCCCGGACCAGCTCAATGCGCGCTGACTGGTCCGGGAGGCGGCGGGTGGAGGATTGAGGGCTTCGGCCTTAAATAAATAAAATATAATTCGGCCTTAAATAAATAAAATGCAAATTATATATAAATTAATCAATAAATTGATCAAAACTACAAATACATCATCAATTACTTAATTCATCAAAATAAATTCTAAAGAAAAATTCTAGTCTAAAGAAAATTCTAGGCTAAAGAAAACAGTCCTAAAAAATCAGGGCTTTGGCCTTAAATAACCTAAATAAACTATATGAAAATATAAATTATTCAACACTTTCAAAAAAAAATAATAAAAAAAACAACAAATGAATTTTTCAATTGATTAATCAAATTATCTCTACAATTGGGTTTTATAAATTAAAAATTAACATTCCAAAAAATTCTGATTTCAAAAACTGATTTCGCATTTTCAAACGAACTTTTTTTTTCTCATATGCAATTTGTTTTGAAAATATCTTTAGATCATACTTAGAAAAACTGTATTTTTGGGAAAAATATTTTCAAGTTCTGATTTTAAAAATTCTAGTCCCTTTTAAATTAAAATTCTGATTTTTACAAATTCTGATTTTTCAAACTACGATTTTTTTTAATGCTTAGTTTCAAATTCTAATTTTTCAAACTGATGGTTACAAATTCTGATTTTCAAATTCTGATTTTTCAAACTATGATTTTTCAAATTCTGATTTTCAAACTGATTTTTCAAAAACTGATTTTTCAAAATTCTGATTTTTCAAAATTCTAATTTTTTTTCTTTAACTTCTGAGTTTTGTGATTCGTTCGTACGTCTATTACAATACAACAAAAAATTTTGACTACTACCTCAAATAATGATTTTAAACGACAATGCTTCTACTCTGCTTTAAGCGTAATTTTTTTTTAATAATTTAAAAATAAAAAGAAACTAAAAATCAATTAGAAAGAAAAATAAATTTTTGACTTTGAAGCTGATTTTTTTTAGAATAAAACATTCACTTTTCTTTCTCAGATTTCACAAACTCAGAATTCAAAATACCGTTTATTTTGTTTTCCGATTCCAAGAATATTTTTTTTTGTTGTTCCCTTTTCGAGTTTTTCAAAGAAATCTCTCCATATTAGTACCTTACAAAATTAATTTTCATATTTAAGGACAAGGTCCCAACAAAAATTTTTTTTGGTATTGTTTTATTTATTACAGGATTTTTGTTGACTTCTATGTTAAAAATAAATATTGACTATTCGACCAAAAAAAAAAATCAAATTTTGAAAATTTTTCGAGAAATGAATTAGTTTTTAGGAATTTTTTTTCCCAGAAATAAATACCAGGGCTGTCAATTTCGCCTTTGAGGATTTTCGCCTTTCTGGACTTTCGCGTTTCGTGTGTCGTTTTAAATTTACTTTCGCGTTTCGCGTTTCGCATTTCACTTTTATATTTTAATTTTGCCTTTCGCGTTTCACTTTCAATATCTGTTTTGGCACACTCCGGGTGTGTACCTTCCTTTCTCTAAAAAAACACGGAATTTAAAAAGGGGCTGATTTTTATAATTCTGATTCGATTACCTTATTCTTTTCTATTTAATTTCTAATTTTTTTTTTTGATCGCGCATTGTTTTATTAAATACAAAATCAAAAAAGGGGGCACTTACTAATTTTAAAAGGAATACATATTGAGAAATTTTTAATACATTTTTTAATTTTAAAATTTTTTAATTTTTAAATTTTCAAAATTTTTAATACTCTTTGTTTCATGAATTTAAAAAAAAATATATTTTGAATATATTCTAACGTTTAAAAATTTCATTTATTTATAAATTTCATTTATGTTTCGTGAATTTTCCAACGTTCAAAAATTTCATTTTTATATTTACTATATTTCCACGAATTTATCCCACATTCCAGAAGGGGTTATTATAAAGTATCAGAAGTGTGTTTTTTTAAGTTTTTTTAACTTTTTTTAAAGCCCAAGGTTAAAATTTTAGTCCACTTACTAAAAAAAATATATACCAAAAATGTTTTAAATTTATTAAAAATTTAAACTAAATTTATTTAACCAATAAACCCTCTCAAAGTCAAAGGTCAAAGTTAAAGCTAATCCTGACAATTATATTTCCCATACTTGTAGTAAAGTGAAAGTGTAACGAATAAAAAAAAAACACTTTTCTTGTGAAAGAAAAGTGGCGATCGGAAAGATGATAAAGCTTTTAAGCCATTAGAATAGTAGAAAATATTCCCAAACATTACAATGAAAAATGGAATAGGAAAGTTGAAGAAGAGTCTAATAAGGAAAGTCCATTAATGGTAAAGCAATAAACAATGCACTATCTCCTCTCCCAAATCGTCTTATAATTATTATATTATTGAAAATAAACAAAACTACTTTATTTCCTAAGAGTTTATGAACTCATTACAGCCTCTAATATAGCAAGTGCCTCGGCACAAGATAACCATTTTAGTGCTTTGGCATCAAATAACCAAACAATTTCCTCAGCTCCGGCTGAAGATATTTCTATCAATGTAGTAGATAAGCTATTAATGTCAGGGAAGATACCGAGTAACCAAGCTAAAATGGCAGACTTAGAGAAAGAACATAGTGATACAATTAGGTTGGAAGAAGGGCTTAATAGCTCTCTCAGAGTGATAAATCGCAAAGTTAATCAAAATTCCACAAATGTAAGCAAACTCGCATATGAAGTAAATAACGGATTTGCTACCCTGGGAGCACAAATAGAAAGTTGTGCGGACAATTGAGTCCCGAAATGAAGAAAAGTAAAGGTCCCTGTCTTCTATAAATAAATCATTTCGAAGGAAACCCTTCTCTGGGGAAAATCTATTAATAATAGCTCAAATAATGACCACAAAGATCAAATTTCAGAACACAGTTAACATGCTACATCACGAAGGAATACCACCTTTGGAAATTTATTATGAAGACAATTTGGTAACGTTTGACAAATGGGAAAAAAATTTTTTAAACGAATTAAAGTATTTGTGGCAAAACTTTCAGAAGATAAGCTTAATCGACTTTCGCTTTTCCTAGAGGACACTCCTAAACAAATTTTAGAGAAAATTAATCCCGCAGATCTAACAACATGTTAAGAAGCAATAAAGGCTATAGGAATTGTATTCACCTCAAAGACATGTACTCAAGCTCTCTCATTCCATAAACAACATGAGAATGAAACAGTCAAAGATTTTCTTTCACGATTTCGACCAATAGCATTAGCTACAGCAACAGACTACGAAGGACCGGCAATGAAACGATTATGCGAGCTATTACTCGAACAACTTAAACCCAGCATCTCATTCTACACGAGGCTTTTGAATTTCACGTAAACTGGCAGAAGCTTTGAACAATTGTGCTGGATGCTTGGGAAGTTGAAATAATGTTACCAGGTGTGAGTGGAACTGCTCCTATGCCTCAGGCCTGTCCAGAACACAATGCTATGCAACAACTTCAATCAAGTTACATGATACAACAGGTAAGTTTCAATCTTTAAATCATACAAATCCAAACAGAGAACAACCTCGCAATGGCTGGAAGTACAATTCAAACGGATACTCAAGAAACCAAAATAATTTTAAAAATTTTCAGAGAAATGATCATCGTGAACAATCAATTGAAACTCCATTTAACTAACGACGTTGGAACAACAGACCTGTATGCAACTACTGTCAAAAGGTCGGACACTTCGCAAGTACTTGTCGAACAAGGATGGCAGAGTATATGGACAAATAGAAAGGAAATGCAAACATGACACAAAGTTCCTCAAACCAACGCTATGAAGAAAGGTACGGTGACTCAATTTTAAAAGAAATATTAATGGGGATACGCAATCCTCAAGAGGATAACAAAATACAACATGAAATTTGAATTCTATTGAGATTGGGGACCACAAACGAAAAAGTAAAAGAAATTAGTGCCAATATTAACAGAAACCCAGTAAAATTAAAATTTCTCCTGAGAAAATAAAGCGTTAGGACCAAAATTACTCCCAATATTAATGATCAAAATTTGAACTCTATTGAAAAAAACTCAATTTAAAAATAATATTAATGGGGTACTCAAGGAACTATATGATCCAACCAGGTAACTAATAGCGTCCTGCAGCGCAACCTTTAGCGTGTCAACTCCAAGAATGCCAATGATCTGTCAAATGAAAAAACAATATACACTTTGGACTTTACCACAACTTACTCATTGTCCATTATAAATAATTATAAATAATGTCTCGCACAAACCCATACTGCAGACAAGGTCCATACATATATTAAATGACTTAGAATATAGTACTGAAGGTTGGGCACTTAGAATAATCAAAAAAAATCAGTAAGAAAATTTACGTCTCTCTCAAATGTACCAGTGACTGAAATCGGAAATGCTAAGTGAAGCTAAAGATGATTGCGCGCGTATGATTAAGGAAAAACGCTGCAGTTTGGTTTAATGATTAAAGAAAATGAAGTTTGGACAACACAAAATATATTTGAGTTAAGTTTAAGAATATTGCTTTTAGGCTCCGTTTGGCGGACAGAAGTGTCAACCCAAAATTGCTTATTATTTAATGTTCAAATAAATTCTCACTGGGGTGAACCTGTTCTTAGAACTCTAGGGGGTACAAAAACATACTCATAAGAAAGTTGTATATGGAATGATAAGTAGAGCGTGTTTTTAGTTCCAAAAAATCGTGAAATAGGATCCTATTTAGGTCCAAAAAATTCAAAATTAGGTCCGAAATAGGTTGAAAAGGCCAAAATAGGTCCAAATTTTGACAAAATAGGTTCTAATTTTGTTGAAATTAAAACATTTATGATATCACATTTACTAAATTTGAATTTTTTTGATATTTTATAATTTTAAATAGAAATTTATCATAATTTGAGTGATATAACAATGCCTAACCCTAAATACCATAGCATTTAAAGGGATTTCGTGATATAAGGGGAGTTGACGAGATAAACTGGTATATCAGTGGATTTGACTTGAATAGGGATTTATTGTGTAAAAGTGATTTGGATAGACGGAGGAGTTGTAGCATCTAATTTAGATATAGAATGATTAAAGAAATATCTTTGATTTTGCGTTATATCGTGAGGGTGTCTGAGATGCCTGATTTGGTGGAAATTAGCTAAAAATAAGCAATTTTTAAGAAAAATCTCAAAAAACCTAAAATAGGTCCAAAAAAAGGTCTTAATGCTCAAAATAGGTTTTAGGTCCGGAAGGGCCGAAATAGGTTTTTAGGTTTTAATAACACGAAAAGTGCGTTACACTATGCGGTAAAATAGTGTTTTTCGACTTATCTCATCAAGGGTTGTGCGCAAAAAAAAATAGGTAAAAACCTAAAAAAAAACACGCTCTAATGATAAGCAGTACTAGAATGGGTTCCAAACAAAGATTAATTTTGTAGATATATTAAATTTGTGGAGTTTGAATGGAAACTTTTAGCCAATTTAGTTAACAACCCATACCAATTCAGCTAACTCATACCAATTCAGTTAACAACCAAAAAACTAAAGCATCTTGCTTTCCTAGACACAACAACAATGATAATTCAGCCAACTTCAAGAAAAGCACCCTTTGCTCAGTATCAAAGAATAACCTTAAAATTAGACAATAACGTTATTGAGATTGACCAAATTACTGAGGAAGTAACCAAACTCCATCCTAGGGCAATAAAAACCAAGGAACTAAAGGCATTTGACATACCAGAAATTAAGGCACATTCCTTTCACCAACTAATTCTAGTAAATTTAACAGATCACACTAACTTGGTGAAAGTGAGTGAACTTTCTTACAGACTTGAAAATACGGACATGGTTATAACTAAAACGCTGTCTGAAAAGTGGAAAGAAGCTGGTGACAGTCTGACAAAAGAAATAATTGGGGATTACACTTGGGCTTGGAAAATATTAATAACCCCCATTATCTCAATTCTAACCCTAGACCTATCAGTCAAGCGGGGACTAAAAATCCTTGAAGTCTATTTAGGCGAAGGACAATTAGGCATAATGCTATTTCGCAGGGCTACTCCCACTGTCAATCAAGTTCAAAAATTTGTAGAACAAAATCCACTGAAAGAAAAAGTGAACGAAGGTAAACCTGAACCTAAGTCATGGATTCCTAAAGTTTCTAAATTTCCGAGTCCAGACACAAGTCAAGAGGTCATAAATATGCTAACCGTAGATCCTCTATTAAAATTTAGGGCTTCGGCCTCAAATAACCAAATAAACCTTACTTACCCAAGTACGGCAGTAACAAGAATTAAAATAAACAACCAACCAATAAACTGTTAGTAGACACTGAGACACAACATTTCTATCGCTCCCCTATCTCTTGCCAAATCTTTAAATGCAAACATTGAACCAACAAGCATAAGCATAACTTCTGACTCAGAACATGAGATTTCTGCTAACGCACATATGCAAGTACTTTTGGATTTAAATGGACACAAACAGACGCAAAAAAAAATAATTTAGTAGAGGACAAACAATTACTTGAGAAACGCAACTACCAATTTATATTAGGTTGTGGCTTATTGAAAACATTACCAAATGTCACATTTGACTTCACCAATAGAAAAATCTGGATTGGAAAAAAATTTCTAAATTTAGGAACGGTAAATTTACCACTAGTAACTGATGTTAGAGTAGCAACCCTGGAACCCACAACAATTTTTCCGGGTTATAATAAAATTATTAATGCAAAAATAGAGACCGTTTAATTCTGAGAACGTAATTTCATACTTATTATATGAACACCTAACTGAGGAAAATTTAGGCCTTATTAGCACAGTTTTCAACGCATCTGATAAAATAGCAAGCCTGTTAATAACAAATCCAACAAAAGACCCAACATATCTGTAAAGAATGCACATAGCATACGCAAATGGACTTAGGGAAAGTAAGGAAGCAGGTGACCTAATGAAACTGACAAAATTAGGTTAAGCCAACCCAGCATAATACATGACATAGAAACCTAGTCAACTCTTTAGATACAGACTCAAATTTTGTAATTGATTTTTCCAAAAGTTCAGTAAAAGTTTATGACCTCATGAGACTAAAAGAGCTATGCAAAGAATTTTCTGACATCTTTAGTAAAGGTCAATACGATCTAGGTTCATGTCTAGTAGAGGAACATGATATAATTACTACGACAGAGGAACCAATCTCCACAAGGCCTCATAGAGTACCATTCAATAACAAGTACCATTCAATAGAGTACCATTCAAATACCAAGACGAATTTCATGACCATATAGACAAACTACTCAAGTCTGGAGTAATGATTAAATCAAATACACAGTGGGTATCAAACATTGTTCTAGTACAGAAAAAGGACAGGGGATTAAGAGTGTATTGATTTTATAAAGCTCAACGAGATAAATGTCTCGGATCACTTCCCACTACCTAGATTTGAAACAATAATGAAAAAAAGTAGGAAGTTGCAACTTTTATTCGCTTTCAGACCTCACTAGCGGCTATTTACAAATCAGACTCACTGAAAGAGCTTCGCACAATTGCGGACTCATCACCAAAAATGAAATTTACCAAATGACTCATTTGCCTTTTGGACTAAAAAATGCTACAAGCGCTTTTGCAAGAGTAATAGTTCACGTAATTAGCGGACTAGACGATAGCGTCATAGCATGCGTTGATGATTTTCTAGTGTTCACAAAAGATCCTGAATTTGATAAACACCTTAAGGCACTTAGACAAGTTTTTGATAGACTTAGAAAATATTACCTCAAAGTAAGT